CAACAACAACAAATTGGTCAGTTGCAATTGGTGAAAATGATGCAACATGGAAGGACCTTTACTTGTAAAGTGATGTAGACAATAAATGCATTAAACCAACAGACATTAAATTATGTTTGCTAAATCAGTGCAATTAAATCATACTTTGATACTTCATTTAATGCGTTCCTTTATTCTGAGAAAAAAAAAAAAGGTATCAAACATGTGATTTCCTAGTTAGGGAAAATTTTTACATTTCTCTCTGAAAAGGTGAATGAAATAAGTAGGTTTCAGACATGTATCAAAACAGGATAATTTATAGAGAGGAAACATAAAGAAGTTCTGAAACTAATATATTGTGTTGTTAGAATGGTATGAAATTATGTTAAATGCTAAATAAATCCAGAATTAAGCTTTGAAAGAGAAGATTGTCATTCACAATGATTGTCAAATTTGCAAAGAATTTTAGAAAATCAAAGGTGTTCTATAGTTAGGTGCTGTAACAATTAGACCATATGTTAGGAGAAGTCAAGATTGTCTTTAGTGGATCTGGACAGTTTCTCAGACATTTTCCAAAAAACAAGCTGAAGTCGCTGCAAACTGAGAAACATGGTTACTCAGGGATCATAGGATGAGGATGTTTCCTATGCTATAGTGTAAGGTGTCTGTTTTACAAACAAGGGATTAATTGATTAGTTTGAATCATTCAGTTTAGAGATCATATTTGTTATATGGAATAAGAAAATTCAGTAGGATAGTTATTTTAAAAAAAAGATCACAACACAGAAACTCTAGTCAAGATGAATCCTAAATGTTCTCAGCTTATAAGATTACTATAAAGAAGAAAACAACCCAATCCATTTAATGCAAAAGGAAACGTAAGGGATGGCGTCAAATAAGCTTTTTCTGAGGCAAAACAGTCTGATCTTCCTGGGATGCAATATTCATTCCCAACGCCACAAGATGGTGGACTTCAAGTTACACAGATTTAAAACATTTATGACAAACAGTGGTTACCCAAATGAATTTTAGTTCAGTATTTAGTGAAAAGCTAAATCCTCATGAGATGTTCCTGTTTTTTTGTTAATATTTATATGAATAAAAAGTGCATTGCTATTTTTCTTTTATTAGCCAATCCATACATTTCATTTTTTGCTTGACATGGAAAAGAATGTGCAATTTTGCCAATGCATTTGTGTATCTGATAATAAAAGCCATTTTGAGGGTTTTGGGTTTTATTTGCCTTATTACAATAAAAGCAGCTTGCACCCGGGCTGTGATAGCATCTGTGGATTTCTAGCAGTCTTCCAGTCAATAGAGATTACTCTACTTTAGCCATCCGTCTTTAATTACTCGCTTTCAGAAGACTGGCATGCTGAGAAACATCCTCAGCATTTTGTAGGTGACTTCAATCAGTATGCATTGTTAAGGGAGCCACAATTAAGTGGACACTAATAATCAAGTCTGAACAACACAATCATGTAGATGCATAATTATATCAAATACAAATTTGTTTTTAATCAGATGGGGGAGGGATAGAGAACAGGTAGTGATAATCTAATTACCTGTCAGGTGTTTTATTTTTTTACCTGATGATGCTTCTTGAAAGTTGCCCCAAGCAATCAGCAAAATGAATGTAGCTTTAAACAAATTATAATGCAGCATAACAGAACCACACTGCAGTTTAACCATTTCCTTAGACTTGTTAAAGGCCCTCTACTGTAACCTAGTCTTGGTCATAGAAAAGAAAAATTGAATGGTGCAAAAGAAAAAAAGGAAAATAACCTTAATTGATTAGTCAATCAATCCATTTTCCGTCACGCTTATCCCTGCTGGGGTCAATCTCTAGGTGTCTTTGGGCGAGAGAGATGGGGAACACCCTGGACAGGTCGCCAGTCTATCGCAGCGCAACACAGAGACAAACATTCACGCACACAAGGAGAATTTAGAGAAACCAATTCACCTAACAGTCATGTTTTTGGACCGTTGGAGGAAGCTGGAATACCCGGGAAAAACCCGCGCATGTACATGGAGACCCAGAACCCTCGTGCTGCAAGGCTGTAGTGCTACCCACCTTGACTCTGTGCACTACAAAAACAGCAGTTTGTAGTGGTATAAACTCAATGCAGTATTACATCTCTTTGAATCACTCCCAATGATTCTAGGTGCAGGTTACCGACCATACTTTTATATTTTTCCCGTAACTTTAAGACCTGCAATTACTTTAAACAAAACACAAAGTATGAGGACAGGTCTACGTTTTGTGGCTGACCTTTTAAGTTTACAGCGCTAAACCTTACTGATGTAAGGTCTTTTTTTTTATTCATAAATGGACCAAATGTCTCATCTCAACTATAAAGCAGGGTTATACTTGTTTGCTGTTTAACTTACCATTATTACATGGATGACATATTGAGCTCCCTGGAGCATCTTACAACAGCAAAGTAATACTACTGACTGTAAACAACCGCCTGAGTGCTCTCTAAAGGAAATATTATTAAATCGCCTCTAGAAAGAGCTGCAAACATTTCCAAATTGAGCAGTTTCCATCTTCACTGTAATATATCTGTGTTTTACCTGTTAAAGTCAGTCTCACTGTTTGAAGGAAACATCCATATTTGACCTGCAAATTGCTCGTTTGAAAAGATCAGCCTCCTGTAAATGTCTTTGGAGACTTTTAAAGCATTTCATGCTTAATAGTTAAGCTAGAAGTTTTGTTTTTCATCATTCACCCCCACACTGAACAATGTTGGTACTTTGTCACATTTACTGTTTGCTTAAGAACATTTTAGACTTGGGTTTCTGAATATGTGGGTGGTCTGGAAATGGACAAACCAAGTTAAAAAAATATATAATTTTCACTCTATAAATGTTACATTAAAAATAAACAGATTGTAAAAAAAAAACAAAGCTACTTTTTTAATGCCAAAAAATAAAAATGATTTTTCAGTATTGTTACCCTCTTAGCTAATAAATAAAATGTACTAATCATATTTTTTATTATAAGTTATTAGCCATCCCATCTGCCAACTTCCAGCCAGCCGCTCCCACTATGGAATCCTTTTTTTCTTAGTTCTGGTTAAGTTGGGAGTTACCGATGTTCCTGATTTTGGTTTGTAAGAATTTGCAAATTTGTAAGCGTGTCCTTTTATTTAAGGGATCCCCTTTTTATTGTTGGTTTTTTTGTATGTATGATTTTCAAAAATAAATCTTAATTTTTTGTTACATAAATATCCATTTCAACCTTTCATAGCTTCTTTGAATTTCTGAGTTGCTACTGAATAGAGTAGGTTTGGATGATTTTATTCTGAAATTCCCTGCAGCTTTTTTGGTAAGCTACCCTACTTTGGGGAGCTGAGACCACTGCAGCATCCGGGCAAACTTCAACATGCTCTTGGTAACTGCATCCACACTGCAGATGATGTGAACTGACAACGATTGTAATGATTCTAATTACATTTGATATCCACACTGTATTCAGCATGAGCCCTGCATCATCATGGGCGTCACAATGATGACAAACGTCTTTCATCCAGTTTGCAAAAACAGAACAAATAACAATTTAAAAAATATTTGCTCATACATACGCCTATAGTTAATTTGAAAGGCTTAAAAATGTTGTAGGACCTTTAAGTCAGTTCAAATTATTAAGTTTAGCTTCGTTGCAGACTACCTTCCTCAGACTTTATCAATAAAATGAAGACAAACCACAAGACCTCTCCTGCCCACAGTATCACCTCAAAAGAAATCTCTTTGTTATATTTAGTTTAACTTTGAGATTAATTGTGTATTTTTTTAGTGAAACCTTATTTACAATGAAATATTGAATATCAATGAAACAAGTTTAAAGTTTATTCTTTGACCTTACACTAATTTAATAAGCCAAACAGCCACTGTATTAGGCAGTTGTTCCATATTGAGCCTGAAGCAACAACACAAACATTGCTACAATTTAATACTATAGCTGAACTGTTATAATAAAAACAAGCTAACAGGTTTAGACATAGTGCAAAAATAAGCAACTAAAAAAGCACAACAAAAACTGGAGGAAGGTGATCACAAGCACAATCAAAGCCTCCAAATATACTGGCACTAAAGTTAAAACTTCCTTCCCATTCTGAGACAGGCCTGATCTATTCCCAACACACTGCAGGCACCAGATGCAGCGCACAGCAGAGACGAGATGCTATCACAAGAAAAATGGGAAGGTGCAGCTTTACTGATGTTCTGCTTTAATACAACATGAAAGCGAAGTTTGCAGGGATTCTGTTGCACATCTTAGCAAAACCCGAGGAGATAGAAGGTATTGTGTCCCAGACCTTGAATAAATCTATCGAAAAAGCGGAACATTTTCAAAGTTTTTGTCTGTTGTTTACAGTTATATTTACATGGTGATATTTGAAGGTTTCCACATGAAGTAATAAATTCATATTAGCACAAAATTTTCTTCATAACAGAGCTTGATTCCAAACTTTTTATTTTTGCACTTAGTTTTCACAAAAAGAACCACAAGACAACATACATTTTATTAACTAAAAATAAAGCACATTCTCCATAAGGTCTGCATTACCCATGTGCTAGTGAGAAATTGTACACAAAAAAAAAAGAAGAAAAAGAAGACTGGGAGAATAAATGTTCTTATCAGGAGCTTGCAGGTCCAGCCAAGGCATATGCGAGTGCGTCAGAGGGTGAAAAAGTACTAGCAACTGTGCTGGTCTATGCTTAAAGACAGCCACCCACCGTCCCCACAATATACACACAAAGAGCTGATGACTTAAAACACTCCTGCTCATGGCTTACTGACCTACTCTATGTGCTCCCACTTTATATTAAATGACAAAAAGAGGCAAAAGTGATTTTGTTTTTACAGAAGGAAAACAGTCAATCAAACCAAGGACTATTTTGAAGACAGTTAAGTTACTTTAGCTGAAGAAATGAAACAAAATCCACTGTTTTATAACAGTATAGATAGAAAAACACATAGAGCTGGTTGTCTGTACAGGTGGTGCAGAATAAAAAACCTGCACCCATCAAGTTTCTACTTGGCGCCAAGTTTCCGTATGTTCATGATCAGCCTCTTGCTGTACTCTCTGTGGTCAACAGGCTTCACGTCCATCACTGTGGCCTTGATCCTGGATTCGTCCTGTTAAAAAGAGAGAAAAAAAAAAATTTTTAGGGAAAGAAAATACAAATTTTAAAAGGAAGACAAATGGCTGATTAGGGCCATCACACCTTGCAGATTTAGCCAGCGTATGCCCAACGTCCCAGAATCTCCTAGAACGCTGGCATATGTTGAACTTTCTATGTATTTTTTCAATTTTTGGCGTATACATAGTGTATTCATAACGAGTCCAAAACTTATGTCCAACGACAGCGCAACTTATGCATAACGCACGGCAATGTAAGTCCCATGAAATGATTCATAAGCATTTCACAGGCATAACAAAGCATTATTTAAAGCTTCTCTCCCTCAGGGAGGCGCCTGGTCTGCATAAAAAAGATGTCTTTGATCGCGGTATTAACACAGTTGCCACCTGCTAAACAGTAAATAAAAAGAAAGAAGGTTTGCCGTAGCAGGAAGGATCCATCACGCTAATCCTATTATGGGGGAATACAGTTGGTTTCCTCCTGTTAACACCCTTTATACCCATATGATGCCAATATGCCATTATACGGTAGCTGTAAGTTAGAAACACGTTTAGCGGTCGTCTGGAACATGTCAGACACGTTGATATGCGTTGGAGATAAGTTCTTGATAAGTTACGCATAACTTATGCAGAAGTCACTCGCAGGTTTTGGATAAGCTGGACGCCACCGTATGTCAACGATCAAATAACTTAGCTGTAACATTGCCCACTGATGGCATAAGTAGGAAAATTTTGAGCGTGCTCAAAATTTCTCGACGTACGCGTTATATGTCGTGTTCATACCTTATACCAAACAGACCCATAACTTATCCAAGTTAAGCCGGTGTTTTCGCCATATTTTTCATACGTCAGGCATATGCTGGTATAGATCTTCAAGGTGTGACAGGGCCTTTACCCAGTGTCAAATAAATGCTTTTACATATTACAATATGATTTGTTGTAGCTTTCAACGCAGGTACTGCCACCACCACCAGAAAATAAAGATATCTAATGGAACAGTATAAAGATATAAAAGTTAGCTAGCAGTGATCACTGAAACAGTGTGTATAATACTGCAGAGCTGATTAACATTAAAACCCATACATATAAAAACACACCCAGCAGCTTTACTCCACATGTCAAGCTTTCTTTTCTGGCAAAGTCATTTGATTTTGACTTTTTTTAATTTGTGGGTATGATCAGGAAATCTCACAAGTAGCTCACAGAGCCAAAGTGTAAAAAACAAACCTATCCCTTTAAGATGCAAATTGATAACAGGCATGCATGCACCAATTGTAGTATTAACAATACAATGTGTATTCTAAAGTACATAATAGAAAATAAGCACAGTCCAGACTGTTTAATTACAAAAAAGGATGACATGTGTAATGGTATTTATGAAGAAATTGGATGCAAGCATCTTTTATCCCCTGCAAGACATTTGGAGCAGCCATCTGAACTGCGATGGCATTTAGCTTCCACAGCTGTCTAGACATGGGAGGTCGTTTCTCTCAGGGCCATTCATCCTTGCATTTAAACTGAGGTTACACTCAATTTTTTCCCATTAATCCTCTGCTGTTGGAGCGGGTAAATGCAACTCATCTTCCTTTAGAACTGTGCTCCCTCGCTTTCAGAGCTATCATATACATTGTGTGTTTCATATAAAGAGACATTGGGCTACAGCTGAAATAAATGGTTTTCTATTTTGTTTGTTGAATAGCTCAAAGTCAAAGGGGGCTTTCATTTAAAGTTTCATTATCTTATCCGACTGAAAAAGGTGAAAACTTTATTTAAACACCCTTAAAGGTAAACCGAGATTAAATTAAAGTTATATAATCGGCTAAAATCAGATGTTTTCTGCGTTCTTCCCCAACATTAACAAAAAACAAGTTTGTAGATCAAAACAAGATTGTTTTGCTCAAAGACTTTCCATTTCTAATTTGACACAAAGCACAAATCCTTCAAATTTAGGTGAAGTAAATCATCTTTATCTCTAATCTTAATTGGTTTAATTATGATCACTGCAGGAGTTTTGCTTCATAGAATATAACTGTTAGAGATGCTAACAGCATAACAAAATTTGATTAGGTGTTGAATGCTTTAAAGAACCACATAAAAAAAGATCAGCCTATCAACAACAAATTTACCCATTTCATACCTCAAATGTTTAAACTTAACATTAAAGGTTGAAACAAAGTTAATTTAGCCTCTTATAGCTGCAAAACAGAATATTTATATGCTAACTGGCTTTTTGAGAAAAACCATCAGACATTTTAAGACCTTCAAGTATAAAGGCTCATTAACAGTACCAAGGTTTGAAGAAAAAAAGGGACACCTTTTTTTCTATGGTGTTCAACACCATGAAAAATCACAATGTCAACGTTTGCACTGATGTGTGATGGAATTAATTTACAACTTTGCACAGCAGCTGAATGTCGCTCTAAATGTGGATTTTGATGACTTTCCTCAATACAATGCAATAAAAAGGGGGGAAAAAAATAAAAGCTAATCTACATCTCATCCTTACCTGTATAGTACTTTTATTATTTTATAGGAACGTATTTTAATCATGAAAAACTTTCAGGTCAACTCTTATTGGGGTGTGGGTATGTTTTGTAATTTACTTACTCCAAAAAGGGGATATCAAAAGACGTGTCTAAAAATATTAAGGGAAATAATTGAAAACTTTTCATTCATTTCCCATTAAATTAAATTCCCGTCAAATTCAGAGATACATCTTAAGCTTTTTATTACTGCTAAAACAAAGAATACAACAGTCACTCATTTAATGGAGACATCAGGATGTTGGTTTCCCCGTATTTGTGTCGCAAGACTTTCACAACTTTTTTTTTTTTTTTACTTTAAAATTGTCTGCTTGAAAACTGCCAGGTCTTCCCTATATTGTAAACCTAGGATTACATCAGAGTATGAAAAAAAAAATTTACTAAGTCTTAGGGAAAGTTATTTTTCTTAGAAGCTTAATTTAAGGTTTTAGTTTGGCTGTAAGCCTTAATTCATCATAACAAACAGAAAAATACCTGAAGTACAGTGCTCTGTGTGTAATGAATTGATATGATATACTATTTTACTTAATAGTACTTAATCAAAAGAAAAATAAACCATTTGAAACCATCTTTCTATGGCTTTTTCGTAATTAGTTTTTATTCTGCCAAATATTTGAATTAAAACTGTAATTTTCACATGTTAAACTGTGGGGTTAACATCCTGTTTATTTTCTTTTTAACCCAAACCAGTTATGTAGCCACAAATGGGCCATTTTTCTATACAGTACACTGAACACTAAAAGTGCAGAAAAATTAATTCTGATTCATAAATCCCCATTTTAATTACTGGGATTGTAATTTGAACAAAACATCTTTGTATTGCTTTTCTTAAAATGAGTATTAGCTGCATATATACAGCGCTAGTTTACACCAGCCCTATCAAGTATCGTCTAAAAGCAAACAGGTATGTTTATGTTACAATGACCAGCTTGTAATTCTGAGCGAGATTGCAGGTGTCTCTGTTAAAGGAATATGGGCTGTGGCTACATGGGCCAATACATGCTTGTAATCTGTGCCATTGGCAGTTAGGAAGCCGAGCTTACTGTGACTGACACAGTGGTCTCTTCTGTGTGTTAAAGGCGGATGCCGCCTCTGGCCCACATCCAGACTTCCTGCTCAGAGTCCCAGCCCAATCAATTCTTTTATGCGTTTCCCTCAAAAACAAACCTCTGTCTGTGTTGCCTACAGGAAACTGTGGCCGCTGCTGAGCTGTGCGCGAATTCTTCACAGAGCAACTGAAAATCAACAGCTTTCTGGCACAAACACCTTTTCAGAGGTGGTAATGACAGCACAAATGACAGACAGGTAGATGTGTTAATGAATGGAAAAATCATCAAAAAGGATGGACTGCAGATGGAGCATGTCATTCTTGCTTTGTGATTTAAGCTTGAAAAGAAATGTACAGTGGATATGAGGAACCTTTATTTTTTATTTTGTACATTTATGTGATCATTTATTAAGTTAACTTATGTAAAGGCTTGTTTTTATAATTCTACAACATTTTCAAATTTTCTAAATACGTTTCCTGATAGACCAACAACTAACGTTTAGTGCTTAATGGAAAATATTTGGGGATTGGAAAACTGATATTGTATATCCTCACGGTAAGACATGGTGGTGGCAGCATCATGCCGAGAAAAAAAAAAAATTACAATCGCAATCCAAGATAAAAGAGCCTTGTAGAGGCTTTGAGCGAGATAAGAATTGATTACAGATTTATCTGCAATCAAACAAACTACCCTAAATATACAGTCAGAAATACAAGGATGTGTGTCAATAGCCCAGGCAAAGTGATGAAACAAATATTTTATAGATGCTCTCTGTCATTTTTAATTTAATTTAATTTTGTTACAATTAAAACCCCAAAGACATGCAACCGTAGGCCCATCAAAAGTTGGTTCAGCACAGAAAATATTAATCAGTAGGGCTAAATGTCAAACTTTAGCCAAACCTTTAAAACCGTTCATCTTCCTTAGATCTGCTGCATATTTTATGATTTAATAAAAAACATTTGTTTGGCAAGGAGATTAAATGTGTAAAAAAATAAATAAATAAAATTGATGCACAAAGACATTTTCTGAACATCAGTGATTTACTCACATTATACGTTTCCAGCTTCACTCTGTTGCGGAAGACAAACGTGTTGAAGTTTGCATGCTGAAAGATCTCATCAAATGCTGATTCATTCTAAAAGAAAAATAAATATTTTTTCATTCTCACTTCACCAAACCAATACAAAACAAAAAAAGCTATTGATACTTTCTATTAAACTCAATAAAACACATAGATGAAATATAAGAAATGAAATAAGCAAGGATGTATGCTTGTAAAAAACTTTTTTCCCCGAGGTTTACTTCCTGAACTGGCCACATATTTCCTGAAATAACCATAAATTTTTTTTAAAAACAGCAGACTCACAGAGTCCTTGAGCTGGCCCAAGTAAGCTGCATTCTGGCCCAGAATGGCCTCTGCACTCTCCTGGAAGCAAGTTACCCACTGGTTGTCGCCATAATCCGCAATGTTGGCCTGATGAGTAACAGAGGGAAGAGAGAAGGTAAATACGAATAACAAGAATGATGAGGTGTTTAAAGTGTGAAGTTGGCTGATACTGCAGAGTATATCCTGCTGCTTATCCTGGGAAAACGCACAGCATCAGTGTGGAGGCAGAATCACAACTTATTCTACTGCTTGTAAAGATCAATATGTTAACTGATGAAGGCTACTAAACAAAAACATCTTATTGAATGGTCTACATTTCAAAGTTCTGTTTCTCACTAAGCTTTGTCAGCTTCTTTACAGGAATATAAAATCGGTAATTTGCTTCCAAGTTGAGAAAATGTTCATTCGTGTTAATTATTGAACACACTGTAATTTAGCAGTATAGAGACGTAGAACACTAACACAAAGCTGTAAAAAAAAACGTAAGTTAAATTAAAGTTGGTCCTCAGAGTTTTACAGACAGCATAAACATTTGTAGCTTTAATTGCAAAGAGCAGTTAGAAGCAATGTTGTGAGACAGTGAAAAGGGTAAGAGGGAGAGAAGTTTGGGGTGAAGGATATGGAGGGAAAATAAAACATTGAGAAAAAAATGTTAATACAAACTTTAAAGCATAAAATGGACCTCAGCTACAGCCAAACAACAACAGCGGTTTAAAATATGAACATTTTTATGCATGTTATGCGTCATGGACAGTACAAAATGGGGACATGGATGATAAATATATATTTTCTTACAGATAGAATGAGGCGGTACTTGAAGTTAGGAAACTCTTTATCACACTTCTCACAGCGGAACATGCCATTCTGTTGGTCAATCACTTTTTTGTTGCAGTCCTGGCTTGGGCAGGCCTGATAAAGGCAGTTCTCCTTGCGCAGAAAAACTATGGTGGCTATGCAGGAATAGTAGTCAGCCTAAACAAGCAGAAAGTTACACAAGAGCACATTAAAGATGTAAAAATCTCTCTTAAATACAATTTTTTTTTTATACAATCCAGTCTTCATGCACTCAGGACTTTTACAATACTTTTTTTTAATGTTAAGCTTTAGGATAGAATTCTCAGGAGAATCAAAGGATGTAGAGTGGATAAAAAGGTATACAGACGAGGAATAATTTTTTGAGGCCTGCACCATGAGGGCAGAGTAGTAAAAAACAAACCCTTTCTGTAAATAAAAACATCCCAGCTAAGGTCATTTTAAAAGAAACACATTGAAATCCAATAGAATGTGGAGAAATACGTTACGGTCATTGACAACAGTACAGACATTTTTAACCAAAGCTCCAAAACTAATGCCTCACAAAAGTAATATGTCACCAGAAAAAAAACACAGTCCTCACTGTGAATCATAATAGTGGCAGTATCATGGTTTGGGATCATTTTTCTTCAACTTGAAATGGGTCCAAGTTTAAGTGGCAGTAAACTATGAACAGTTCTATATATTAGTCATTACTGGCAAGATACTTTCAGGATTCTGTGAGAAAGCTGAAGATGAACCATCGGTTACCAACAGCTTACATCAAAATCAACAACTAATGCTTCACCATAGTAAGATTAAACCTTAGGAATGGTCCAGCTAGACCATGGACACTTTATTTTGATTAAACATCTGTAGGATGATACAGAGAAGGCTGTGGAAAAGAAAAGCTGCTGGAATATGATGCATCTGAAGAGGCTATTACCCAAGAAAACCGTGTTGGAGCAAAATCAAAACCTTCTCTGGAGGAGTATTAGTTGAAGGGTGCCCATACTAATGCATCTCCATCACTTACATTTATCATTTCCACTTTTAGGTAAATTAGTTTAAGGCTAGATGAAGATCAACAGCTTATAGACAGCAGAAAAACTTGTGGAAATACTGAATGGGGCCATTTTCTTATCTCACAAATCCAGGCCTTTACAGGACTGTGGACATCTTTATCTACTGCTAGCAAGTAAAAAAACAATCATAATGCATGGACTAAACTGCAGGGAGCTGATGCATTTGGAGACAGGAAGCAAATGTAACAGACAGCTTTTACTTGCTTTCCACAGCAGGTTGAATCAGTAAGACAGCAACTGATGAACACGTAAAAACATCAAGATGTGTTCCAAATTCCTGCAGAATGTCCCCCAACAGAGGGAAATCTGAGTCACCATAGGCTTTGATAAAAGGCTAATGGCTCCTGCTCAAGCTCAGGTTCTAAACATTGTCCTTTTCCATCTTGGCATCAATGTCCACTGTACTTTACTAAAAAACAGTGCTCTAAAATGCATAAAACTACATGAATTAACAGATGCTTTTCATTTCCGTGCTACAAAAAAAAGAAAAAAAAAAACATTTTGTAAACAAATGGCAAAAGGCTATGGCTATTTTAATACCCATTGTTAAACAAAAATAAATGTCAAAAGTTTCTGATTTTTTCTGTGAGAAACTTTTGATGTAAATGTCTCCAATTAGTCTATAATTGACCTGTGAGAGACAAAGGGGGGAAAGAAAAATACATAAATCTTGTCGCCATGACAGACTGTTAAAAATGTAACGTCAAGCAAACAAGCAAATTGTGCCCAGTTGCTTTCAGAAGGGGCACAGCGTCAATGTAGAGACTTCAAGTTGTGGCACAGAGACGAAAACAATGGTGACAGTACTTTCTGTGGAGGGGTCTTAAAAAGCCTGACCCCCCCACGCTGCCTATAGGATATGACAGTCTGAGGTCAGCCTCAGTGATACGTTGTCATAACCATACTTTGTTAGATGATATACAGAACAGAAACAGGCAACTTCAGATTAAAGCGATTTTAAATTGCTGAACTCTTTAAAACATGAGACATTAACCTATAGTTTAAATGTGAACGCCATTAAAAATACTTCTCCAATTTGAATAGATTATACAGCAAATTATTTCAAGATTTTTTTAATATTCTTTTTAAGATCAAGGCTTAAAGCTAGTTCTTATTGGACTAAATAAAAAATAAAAAAAGTGGTTAAAAGAAGTAAACAATGTACTGTCAATTGTGTACTAATAGGTATATGTACTCAGTGTTTGGTTGGGGCTCTGCATCCGGTCATGAGGGGATTAGCAGGGAGATGGTGGTTCAGAAGGCAGCCTCTTTTCTGTTAATCTGCCCCAGGGCGCTCTGGGTCCTCGGACCTGTTAAAGAGCTATACGGGTGCAGGTTATTTACAGTTTTAGAGGCTCTGAGAGGTATTTAGGGAAATGAGGTTGCTTTGACAGCAGCCTTCAACATGCATGTAGTGTTGGGTCCAGTATCACCTTGCAGATTATGATAGTTCATACATTCTTTGTGGAGTTTAGGTCAGCCCTGTTTTCTAGTCAATTAAGTGAATTGATGCCATTTTTCATTAAACTGGGTGTTTAAACTTTGAGCAGTGTGTTCAAGTGCAAAGTCATGGCAAGAAAATAAAAAGGATGCTTTAAAATTCCCTGGTGAGCAGCAGCACCGACTTTTGACTTGTGGTAATGAACTGGACCAACACCAGCAGATGGCACGACTCCCAAGCCTACTAAAGGAAAACTTTACTTTAATCCTCATATAAAGTGGATTCTGTGCCAAACCCTCCTCTTGATTCTGGGAAATTCATTTGCAAAAAAATCTTTGAAACACCAATTTACCATACAGGCTTTTTTTTCCCCCTTAACCAAGGTAAGACTTTATGCGCTCCAACTACAAATTGCTCTGGTGCAAAGATT